CCTGGAGCAGCAGACTCACCAGCATCTAGAGCAGCAGACTCACTAGCACCTAGAGCAGCAGCCTCAATGCCCGGGTCAGGCGGCACACACAAGTAACAGTCACCGTCGTCACTAGTAGACACGACATACATGGCAGCAAGAATAGCATCATAATCAAGATCAAAGAGAGCAACCCTCGACCTAAGCAGCTCGCCCCAGCGAGGGATCTCAGTGGCGTCAGGGAACTGGAGACGCCAGGCGTACGTCAGGCGGCCAAAGCAGCGCTGGGTGGCGTGCGGGCCGCCGCACGGCTCACCATTGCGGTCGCCAGTACGCAGGACGTAGGCACAGGGACCTGCACCCCCACCCCGCTGACGCGCAGCGTACCACTCACGAAGCTGCTGGGGGGGCGGGGTCTCACGAGCGCGCTGCTGGTGCTGGCGCTGACCACCACCGAAGCCTCCCCGCTGCACAGAGCCACCCCAACCAGCTCTAGCGCCACTGCCGCCACCGCCGCAACCAACGCCTCCTCCCCTCCCATCGCCACCGCCGCCTCTGCCTCCGCCTCCACTGCTGCCACCGAAGCCCCCACCCCCGCCACCACTCCCACCGCCACCCCCACCCCCTCCGCCGCCTCCACCACCACCACCACCGCCCCCGCCAGCTCCTCCAGCGCCGTTGCCCCCCTTGCCCTTGCCGTTGCGGCGTCTCCCGCTAGAGGCAGACGCAGCGCCGACCGGCTCAGTGCCAACGAGGTCGACAGCAGCAGCAGAGGCAACAGAGGGCAAAAGGGGAATGGGGGAGCACCCCTCAAAGGAGGGGGTACGAGGGTCACCACGAGAGGCTCCAACGACTATACTCTTCTTAGCTACAAGGAGGCGCTCCTCGAGGAGGTCAACGGTGAGTGTGGTGGGGCAAACAGAGAGGAAGTGGTCCTTGACCGAGCGAAGGGAGTCAGGGAGCCGGGTGACTAGGTAGTAGAGGGTGATGTACATGGGGGGGGGGGGTTCTTGGCGCAAAACTCAGCACGAAGCGCAGCGCGGTAGCGGGTGTCACTAGTGCGGAGGTGCGTAATGAGGTCAGCGACTGTGGGAAAGGCGGCAAGGTCAGGGAACAGGTACGGCAGCATGAGGCGACTAAGGGCAGCAGTGGCAGGGGAAGAGTAGCGTGCAACTACAGCGTTGTACAAGGTCTTAGCACTCTTGTACTGACTAAAGTGCGCGCACTCAGTGGACGGCAGGTGACTACGCAAAGCAAGACGAGCAGCAGCATCCCGTGTTGCCCACTGTGAGCGTACAGTACTGTCAGCATCGGCAGTAGGGGCAGCAAAGGCGCCAGATGTGAGATCGAACAGTGAGAGACCGTCTTTTCTATCGCACTGCAGGAAAAGCTGCAGATCATCGACCCAGACCTCAAAGTCGACAGCACGACCCTCATCATCAAAGGTGAGCACATTGGGGGTAGCCATGACAGCAGCAGCAGCAGGCTAGCAGCAGTAGCGGCAGCATGAGTCGGCTAAAGGGGGCGCGGCTCGGCAGGGCGCTTACCAGTGGCGAGTGGGTAGGGTGGCCGCGACAGGAGTGGCAGGGCCGAGGTGCGCCGGCAGGGTCGGGGCCGCAACGGGGCAGCAGGGTAGGACCGCGGCTCGGCTGCAGGTCAGGGCCGGGGCAGCAGGGACCGCAGCAGTGGCGGCGGCTCGCGACACCAGCAGGGCCGGCAGCTGCTGTGGCGGCAGGGACGGCGACGGCAGCTGCTGCAGGGACGGCCGCTGCTGCAGGAACAGGGACGACGAGGCGAGAGGTCCGCTACAGTTGCAGTAAGGGTGACGGCAGCTGCTGGTGAGGCGGCGACGACGGGCCGCGAAGAGCCGCGAAGGGGGAGGGGGGGGCCGCGAAAGCGCCGCCAAGGGGCCCGAAGGGGCCGCAAAGGGCCGCAGAGGGGCCGAGAAGGGGCCGCAAAGGGCCGCGAAGGGCCGCGAAGGGGCTGAGAAGGGGCCGCGAAGGGCCGAGAGGGGGCCGCGAAGGGGCTGTGAAGAGCCGTGAGGGGGCCGCGAAGGGCCTTAAGAGGGGTCGCGAAGGGGTCGCAAGAGGGCCGCGTAGGGGCCGTGAAGGGGCCGCGACGGGGCCGTGAAGGAGGGCCGCGAAGGGGCCGCTAAAGGGGCCGCGAAGGGGCCGCTAAGGGGCCGCGAAGGGGCAGGCCGCTAAGGGGCAGCGAAATTTTAGGGCAGGATGCGAAGCGCGCTTCGGGCAGTCCAAAATTTTTTTCAAAGGTGGGCCCTTGGAAGAAATGGTCCCAGTAGGGAACTCGCTCTATACCATGTGAAGAATGAGGAATGATTGAACTAGGAAAATGTTGGATACAAATATGAAACCCTAGAAACCTGTACCCCTTAGTGTCAACCCCACCAGAGCCTACAAAGACTAAGTCATATATATCTGACAATCCCCTACTCGATTATAAGCGCACCCATTGAAAAAACTTGTTTTATTATAAGCGCACATAAACTTTAAATTTTGAAATGTGTTCAAAACGCTGTAACGATGTTTACTTTAGCAGGCGGATGTGTTGCAGATTCGGTTCCGCTCACATTCGGACCCTGCACTGGATGCGGGTCCAGTCAGCAAGAGCTGTCAGGAGCTGGATGTGAGTCAGATTGGGTGTATCTCCCAGCGCGCGCGAGAATTTCACAGACGACCCCATGTAACTTCGACTGGATTGAAAAAGCAAGCACGAGATCTACAGTTTGGTGTTAAAAAATATAAAAAAACATATGTCATTTTTTAGACACCGGCGCTTATAAATTTACTCGAGTATAAGCCCATCCCCCCCAAAAAAACCTGTTTTATTATTGCCCCCCATGGGGGTATATCCGGGGTATGACGGTAGCATGCTTAATTTCAAGGTGTGAACACACATCAACCATTGAGTTTAGTACTCATGTGTGTACCTTGTAGCTTGATTAAAAATGTGCGAATTTCTGCAGGCCTCAACTCCACTACAAGAGAGTCAGAATGAAGGAAAGATTCTTGGGCTGACCTATTTTCATCAACTGCTGCCCCAACTTCCTCCTCTCCATCCACTCTCCAGGAGAGAGGCTGCCGCATATCTGCTCGTCTCTGATTGGCCATCAGACTCAACTCTGTCACCTCGTGGATCTGCTATGGGTGGATGGCAATGTGACAGTACGGAATGTTGCGTTTAGAGGCATGAAGATATGAAGTGTGATTGTGGAATGAGCAGGAAAGGAATAATACAGCCTGGAGTGTGATTGTATTACACTATGGTTCTTGGTTGACAGAAAAGTACACCTTTTACAAAGCACCTGTGAGAAAAGGTGTGAGAGCAGGAGAGAGGGATGAAGGGTAACCAGAGACGTGGCTTGTTGCAAAGAAACAACTGTTAAGGGATGACCACGATAGCATGTGATAGCAGGTGAGAATATAAGGTTTGCAGACCCGTTACTTGTTATGCTGAGTGGCAGGGTAACAAAAACGGTTACTTGTTTTGCTCCAAACAATCTCCGAAGGTCCACTTGAGCTGGGAGAGACAAGACAGCATGCTCGCCAGGCTGTAGGCAAGGATAGGCAGGGAAGCACATGGGGCAGGGAGGCAGACGAGGCAGGGAAGAGGCACATATAAGGCATGAAGGGGGCGTGGATTTACGTCACCTGAAACTAGGATCTTGACGAATTTTTATGAGGGGATAGTGAGACGACAGGAGGTATTTTGACAGGGGAGCGTGGATGTGAGTGGTAAGAGGAGGGCGGATGTGAGGGAGAATGTAGAAGTGAAGTAGGACGGAGAGAAGGCCGAGTGTGGGGAGATGTGAGTGTGAAGGGCATGAGCGAAGCACGGGTGTGAGAGAGGAGGGAGCGTGAGTGTGGTTGAAGAGTGTGGAAGGGGTGTGAGCGAGGGGGAATGTGAGTGAGAAGGGGTGTGAGTGTAGGAATCACCTCGTATAGGTGAGCTAGTCTCAGAACAACCTTGCTTGGGGAGAGCTCCTGCACGTGACAGTGGCACAAGCGAGTGCATCATCAAAGAAAGGAGACAGTGGCAGAAAGAGGTGGGCCAACCTTAGTACAATCGGTCTTTGATATTTCTCAAAAAGAAATGGTAGCATCACAGCACAGCACAGCACCGCACAGCACAGCACAGCACAGCACAGCACAGAACAGTACAGCATCCTCTGATAGAAGTTCTCGTGTGACTGCTGGTGGTGAGAAAACGGGGGTGATGATGAGTGAGGGGGCAGTCAACTACGCGTGTTGTAGGAGGGTGAAAAGGAAGGCAAGTTCCGTGCAAGGTGAGTTCCGTGGAAATGATTACTGAAGTGAAGGATACATGAGTGCAGTAGGAACGAGACACAGTGCTTTTGAGGCGCCCCTTACAACGCAACACAATGCTTGGAATGAGGTGGCTGATACCTGCAACGATATGACAGCAACGTTGGGAGGGCCTAGTAGGAGGAAGGTTCTGAGGCGCCTAAACAACCTTTGTTTAGCATGGATGAAACACTGTGCTTGCAACGAGGAGGCTGTTACCTGCATCGAAATGACAGCAGCGTTGGGAGGGACCGAGTAGGTGTCAAGGCTGCTGGATGACGTGGATGATGCTGACGTGGAGGGTGGCTGGGTGAGGGAGTAGTGCCACGTGTAGCTGCCTTGTGCTGCCCTGATGGACTTTTGAGTCTGCAGGCATAGGGATAGAGATATGACGGGGTTGGGATGGATGGAGAGAGATTCGAGTGTATTGGGGGTTGAAACAGAAGCTGGGAGGGTTGCAGGGAACGCAGAGCATGAGTGGGAGCGCATGGAAAAGGTGGGGATCATAGTGTGATGGAGAGGGTTTCAGAATAAGAGTTGAATTGATTGATTAGAGCCGTTGTGCGTGTGGGACATGCTTAGAAAGTATAAAGAGAACGCTAGGAGCCAAGCCGTTGTGCGAATGGAAGAGATAGATGATAGAAAGGGGGATGACAATGGCACGGCTCACTTCAACAGCAAAGGCGAGCTGCAGAGGGGTTAGGAGCCGTTGGGCATGCTCCCTCCTCCACTCGCTGCCCCGCCCCAACCATAGACAATCCCCCCCTTGCCCCCATTGCTCCCCTGCACTTTCTTCAGAGTCTGTGTTGGGGTGCAGGCCAAAGCGCAGAGAGCCCACAACCTACAGGGAAGGGGAGAGACGGTTGTTGCAGGGTGGGAGAGACAGTTGTTGCAGGGTGGGAGAGACGGTTGTTGCAGGGTGGGAGAGACAGTTGTTTCAGGGTGGGAGAGACGGTTGTTGCAGGGTAGGAGAGACGGTTGTTGCAGGGTGGGAGAGACGGTTGTTGCAGGGTGGGAGAGACGGTTGTTGCAGGGTGGGAGAGACGGTTGTTGCAGGGTGGGAGAGACCGTTGTTGCAGGGTGGGAGAGACGGTTGTTGCATGGTGGGAGAGACGGTTGTTGCAGGGTGGGAGAGACGGTTTTTGCAGGGTGGGAGAGACGGTTGTTGCAGGGTGGGAGAGACCGTTGTTGCAGGGTGGGAGAGACGGTTGTTGCAGGGTGGGAGAGACGGTTGTTGCAGGGTGGGAGAGACGGTTGTTGCAGGGTGGGAGAGACGGTTGTTGCAGGGTGGGAGAGACGGTTGTTGCAGGGTGGGAGAGACGGTTGTTGCAGGGTGGGAGAGACGGTTGTTGTAGGGTGGGAGAGATGGAAAGGTCTGACTTCAACAGTGAAAAGGCAAAGTGAAGAGGGGTTATGAGTGGCTGTGTGCGCTGCCCTAAGCGCAGAGAACCTACAAGTTGCAGGGCAGGGGAACGATGATTGTTGACTTTTGAGACGTATCAAAAGTCAACTTGCAGGGCAGGGGAACGATGATTGTTGACTTTTGAGACATGTCAAAAGTCAACTTGCAGGGTAGGGGAACGATGATTGTTGACTTTTGACATGTCAAAAGTCAACTTGCAGGGCAGGGGAACGATGATTGTTGACTTTTGAGACATGTCAAAAGTCAACTTGCAGGGCAGGGGAACGATGATTGTTGACTTTTGAGACGTGTCAAAAGTCAACTTGCAGGGCAGGGGAACGATGATTGCTGACTTTTGAGACGTGTCAAAAGTCAACTTGCAGGGCAGGGGAACGATGATTGTTGAGGGGTATGAGAGGTGGAAGGGGCTTGCTTCATGCGTTTTTTAAACCGCACTGTGAGCACACCAACTCAAAGCAGCGAGCACACCAACTCAAAGCAGCGAGCACACCAACTCAAAGCAGCGAGCACACCAACTCAAAGCAGCGAGCACACCAACTCAAAGCAGCGAGCACACCAACTCAAAGCACCGAGCACACCAACTCAAAGCAGCGAGCACACCAACTCAAAGCAGCGAGCACACCAACTCAAAGCAGCGAGCACACCAACTCAAAGCACCGAGCACACCAACTCAAAGCAGCGAGCACACCAACTCAAAGCACCGAGCACACCAACTCAAAGCACCGAGCACACCAACTCAAAGCAGCGAGCACACCAACTCAAAGCACCGAGCACACCAACTCAAAGCACCGAGCACACCAACTCAAAGCAGCGAGCACACCAACTCAAAGCACCGAGCACACCAACTCAAAGCAGCGAGATCCTTTTGAGTCGACTCAGAAGTGACTGCCAGATAGTTTCATGCGTTTCTGGCGGCGCTGCAAGCTAGCTCGAAGCGCAGAGATCCCATGAACCCTGCAGAGCAGCCGGGGAGATCCAGTTGTCGCCGAATGGACATCTCTCGCTTACACGAGATTCGAGCCCGTGGCCAAGCGCGGAAGTGTGGAAGCACGGAAGTGTGGAAGTGCGGAAGCGTGGAAGTGTGGAAGTGCGGAAGCGTGGAAGTGTGGAAGTGTGGAAGTTTGGAAGTGTGGAAGTGTGGAAGTGTGGAAGTTTGGAAGTGTGGAAGTGTGGAAGTATGGAAGTGCGGAAGTGTGGAAGTGTGGAAGTGCGGAAGTGCGGAAGTGGGGATGTGCGGAAGTGCGGAAGTGTGGAAGTGGGTAAGTGTGGAAGCGTGGAAAGTCATGCTGTGAATAATGCAGCAAGCACTCACGGTGAGGAAGCGGGTCTTGTTGCCCAGTGTGATCCTCTCCTCCAGTGCCTCCCCCACGCCCTTGTCGTCCAGCGATGCCAGCTTCCTGGTGCCGCGTGGAAGGATGGGGGGAGATGGTGGGGGGGGGTGGGGGGAGATGGGGGAGGGGGTTTGGGGGGAGATGGGAAGGAATGAGGGGAGATGTGTGGGGGGGATGGGGGAAGATGAGGGGAGTTGGATGTCACGTTTGGGTGGAAAACGATGGAAGTGTGAAAGCATGAGAAACATGGCTCGCCTCTATCCATGCACATCAGAATGAAGGAGCTACACGACGACTAGTCCATGGCTTGCCATGGGCTAGTCATGGACATGGCTGCAACATGGCTTGCAACATGAGCATGGCTTGCAGCATGAGCATGGCTTGCAACATGAGCATGGCTTGCAGCATAAGCATGGCTTGCAACATGAGCATGGCTTGCAGCATGAGCATGGCTTGCAACATGAGCATGGCTTGCAACATGAGCATGGCTTGCAACATGAGCATGGCTGCAACATGAGCATGGCTTGCAACATGAGCATGGCTTGCAACATGAGCATGGCTTGCGCATAGCCCATGGCATGCCATGTTGCACAGGTGAGGGCAAGGCTCCAACACATAACCTTTTATGCATGCACCATGGCAAAAAGGTGACTTTTGAGTCGACTCAAAAGTCACCTCGTCATTCTCCTTGCATGCACCATGGCAGCACTGCATGCACCATGGTGGCAGCACTGCATGCACCATGGCAGCACTGCATGCACCATGGCAGCACTGCATGCACCACAGCAGCACTGCATGCACCATGGCAGCACTGCATGCACCCCCCTGTGCTACAGAGCCCTCCCACACCTGTGAAGCATGACCTAACCTGTGAATCATGACGTCACCTGTGAAGCATGACGTCACCTATGAAGCATGACGTCACCTGTGAAGCATAACGTCCATCTGGCCAGATGCCAGCCTGGCAGCGCCTGCCGCCCGGTCCACAAGCACCGACAACTGGGCTGCTTTGTCTTTCATGAAAGCTCCAACCGTTATCTGAAGTGAAGAGCAAGGAGTCGAGGAGAGAGAAAGGGAGGAGGCCAAGATGTGCCAATTCATAGACAAAGAAAGAGCAACACAACGGAACGATAGCTGCAGGGCGCGTCAAGCAGGAGAGAGAGGAGAAAGGCTCTTGTTGCCATCACGTTGGCTCTGGTTGACTTGCCAGCGCCACTCCTTCGATGGTAGATAGGACCACTTCCAACCGAGGGAACTTTGTTTTGCCCTCGAGTTGACTCTGCTGACTCTGGTTGACCTTGAGTTGACCCTGTTGACTTGCGTTGACTCACCGGATAGTAGTTCCCTGCTATGGGGTCGGTGACGTTAAGGTGCCAGTCGGACCGGTAGTCCACCACCTGACAGTGGGGTGGCGGGGTGGGGATGGTGGGGTGGTGGGGTGGTGGGGTGGTGGGAATGGTGGGAATGGTGGGAATGGTGGGGTGGTGGGGTGGGGATGGTGGTGGGGTGGGGATGGTGGTGGGGTGGGGATGGTGGTGGGGTGGGGACGGTGGTGGGGTGGGGATGGTGATGGGGTGGGGATGGTGGTGGGGTGGGGATGGTGGTGGAGTGGGGATGGTGGTGGGGTGGGTGGTGGGGTGGGAACGGTGAAGGGAGAGGGCATGGAGAAGGGAGGCGGTCTGAACGGGGTCGGTGATGTTAAGGCTCCAATCAGATGGTAGTGGTGTGGTGGGGTGGGGATGGTGGGGATGGTGAGCAGAAGGCATTCTGGGGCTTGTGAATAGGAGCGCTGGACAATGGCACTGGTTTCGTGGGCGCGTATATGTTTGTTGCAAAGGGAATGGGCAAGGAGAGGGCATGGAGAAGGGAGAGGGCATGAAGGAGGGAGAGGGCATGGAGAAAAGAAACACAAATCTGCAGTGAAGGCTGAGCTGCAGTGAAGGCTGAGCTGCAGTGAACGGGGATTGGACCTCCTAGTCCCTCTTACTGCCATTTCAAAACTCGATCACTGCCATTTCAAAACTCGATCACTGCCATTTCAAAACTCGATCACTGCCATTTCAAAACTCGATCACTGCCATTTCAAAACTCGATCACTGCCATTTCAAAACTCGATCACTGCCATTTCAAAACTCGATCACTGCCATTTCAAAACTCGATCACTGCCATTTCAAAACTCGATCACTGCCATTTCAAAACTCGATCACTACCATTTCAAAACTTGATCACTGCCATTTCAAAACTCGATCACTGCCATTTCAAAACTCGATCACTACCATTTCAAAACTCGATCACTGCCATTTCAAAACTCGATCACTGCCATTTCAAAACTCGATCACTGCCATTTCAAAACTCGACCACTGCCATTTCAAAACTCGATCACTGCCATTTCAAAACTCGATCACTGCCATTTCAAAACTTGATCACTGCCATTTCAAAACTTGATCACTGCCATTTCAAAACTCGATCACTGCCATTTCAAAACTCGATCACTACCATTTCAACTCGATCACTACCATTTCAAAACTCGATTACTGCCATTTCAAAACTCAATCACTGCCATTTCAAAACTCAGTCACTGCCATTTCAGACCTCCATTACTGTCTGCTAGTGCTGATGCTGATGAAGTAGTGAAGCAAATATAAGAGCACCAACAAAGTTTGGACGGGTATGCATGCATGCAGCCCCACCCATCCAATGTAGCTTCAGCGATTGGAGTAATAGTGAAATTTCTTGCTGCTGTTGATGGATGCTTGCTGTCGTATGGAGGAATTTCCCTGGTGTGTAAGTCGTGTTTTGAGTCGACTCAAAGCACGACTCCCTGGTGTGTAAGGAAGGAACAGCTGACCAGTCCCAACACCGCCTCGCCTTCTTGATGCGGCTCCAGCCAGCCACTGGAATCAGAGTAGAAGGTGTTGCTGCTGTTGCAGTGAGCTGTGACGTGAGCTTCTAGGCACCATCAAATTAAGGACTGTGTGCACTCATCTGAAAGGACTGTGTGCACTCATTTGAAAGGACTGTGTGCACTCGTTTGAAATGACTGTGTGCACTCATTTGAAAGGACTGTGTGCACTCATTTGAAAGGACTGTGTGCACTCATTTGAAAGGACTGTGTGCACTCGTTTGAAAGGACTGTGTGCACTCATTTGAAAGGACTGTGTGCACTCATTTGAAAGGACTGTGTGCACTCATTCGAAAACAAGAAACCTTCACCCGCTTGAGGTAGCTGCGGCCATTGGAGTCGGAGTAAAAGGTCCTGCTGCTGTTGATGGGCGCTGTGAAGAGAGCTTCCAGGCATTGACATTCATCCATTCATGTGCACTCATTCCAAGGTTAAAGCCTCTCACCCGCTTGAGGTAGCTGCGGCCATTGGAGTCGGAGTAGAAGGTCCTGCTGCTGTTGATGGGCGACACGAAGCGAGTCACCACCTCGTGGTTGTGACCCTTGGAGGGCAACGGACCCACCTGTGCAGTGCAACCCCCTCACACACAGGCACAGTATGGACAACAATGAGGGGTGGGGTGGCTGTGAGCGAGTAGCATACGCTTTGATTTGGCAAGCAGCGAGAGTGGTGAAGCGGGTCAACGTCTTGTGAGACGATTGCAGGGTTGGCTGTTGAGGATTCTTGAGACAGCAGTGAACAGCGAACAGAAATGGTATCAAACAGCACTCCCGGAATAGTGCAGCTCAGCGTAGTCCTTCCCTGGATACACTCTGAAGACCTGGGAGTTGGGAGCGGTGCAGAGCGGCAGAGGCACAGGGAGAGGGAGGATGAAGGGTGGTGCGTTATCAGAGGGAGCAGGCAGGCAGTGGAAAAACCTCGCATTGGGAGTTTGCTTTTGAGTCGAATCAAAAGCAATCGCATTGAGAGTGGCGAGTAAATTGAACAGCAAGCAAGCAACTTACGCACCACTGCGTTGGATGTCTTATGGGAGGGTGAAACGGAGCAAAGGAGTCACACAAAGCATCTCAGAAAAGGCAGTTGAATGCAGCGTAGACACACGTGCACTCAGTATGGCGTAGACACACGTGCACTGAGTGTGGCGAAGACACACGTGCACTGAGTGTGGCGAAGACACACGTGCACTGAGTGTGGCGTAGACACACGTGCACTGAGTGAGACGAAGACACACGTGCACTGAGTGTGGCGTAGACACACGTGCACTGAGTGTGGCGAAGACACACGTGCACTGAGTGTGGCGTAGACACACGTGCACTGAGTGTGGCGTAGACACACGTGCACTGAGTGTGGCAAAGACACACGTGCACTGAGTGTGGCGTAGACACACGTGCACTGAGTGTGGCGAAGACACACGTGCACTGAGTGTGGCGTAGAAACACGTGCACTGAGTGTGGCGAAGACACACGTGCACTGAGTGTGGCGTGGACACACGTGCACTGAGTGTGGCGTGGACACACGTGCACTGAGTGTGGCGTGGACACACGTGCACTGAGTGTGGCGTGGACACACGTGCACTGAGTGTGGCGTGGACACACGTGCACTGAGTGTGGCGTGGACACACGTGCACTGAGTGTGGCATAGACACACGTGCACTGAGTGTAGCGTGGACACACGTGTACTGAGTGTGGCGTAGACACACGTGCACTGAATGTGGCGTAGACACACGTGCACTGAGTGTGGCGTAGACACACGTGCACTGAGTGTGGCGTAGACACACGTGCACTGAGTGTGGCAAAGACACACGTGCACTGAGTGTGGCGTAGACACACGTGCACTGAGTGTGGCGAAGACACAGGTGCACTGAGTGTGGCGTAGAAACACGTGCACTGAGTGTGGCGTGGACACACGTGCACTGAGTGTGGCGTGGACACACGTGCACTGAGTGTGGCGTCGACACACGTGCACTGAGTGTGGCGTGGACACACGTGCACTGAGTGTGGCGTGGACACACGTGTACTGAGTGTGGCGTAGACACACGTGCACTGAATGTGGCGTAGACACACGTGCACTGAGTGTGGCGTGGACACACGTGCACTGAGTGTGGCGTGGACACACGTGTACTGAGTGTGGCATAGACACACGTACACTGAGTGTGGCGTAGACACACGTGCACTGAGTGTGGCGTAGACACACGTGCACTGAGTGTGGCGTAGACACACGTGCACTTAGTGTGGCATAGACACGCGTGCACTGAGTGTGGCGTGGACACACGTGCACTGAGTGTGGCGTGGACACACGTGCACTGAGTGTGGCGTGGACACACGTGTACTGAGTGTGGCGAAGACACACGTGCACTGAGTGTGGCGTAGACACACGTGCACTGAGTGTGGCGAAGACACACGTGCACTGAGTGTGGCGTGGACACACGTGCACTGAGTGTGGCGTCGACACACGTGCACTGAGTGTGGCGTGGACACACGTGCACTGAGTGTGGCGTGGACACACGTGTACTGAGTGTGGTGTAGACACACGTGCACTGAATGTGGCGTAGACACACGTGCACTGAGTGTGGCGTGGACACACGTGCACTGAGTGTGGCGTGGACACACGTGTACTGAGTGTGGCATAGACACACGTGCACTGAGTGTGGCGTAGACACACGTGCACTGAGTGTGGCGTAGACACACGTGCACTGAGTGTGGCGTAGACACACGTGCACTTAGTGTGGCATAGACACGCGTGCACTGAGTGTGGCGTGGACACACGTGCACTGAGTGTGGCGTGGACACACGTGCACTGAGTGTGGCGTGGACACACGTGTACTGAGTGTGGCGAAGACACACGTGCACTGAGTGTGGCGTAGACACACGTGCACTGAGTGTGGCGTAGACACACGTGCACTGAGTGTGGCGTAGACACATGTGCACTGAGTGTGACGAAGACACACGTGCACTAAGTGTGGCGTAGACACACGTGCACTGAGTGTGGCGTAGACACACGTGCACTGAGTGTGGCGTAGACACACGTGCACTGAGTGTGACGAAGACACACGTGCACTGAGTGTGGCGTAGACACACGTGCACTGAGTGTGGCGTAGACACACGTGCACTGAGTATGGCATAGACACACTTGCACTGAGTGTGGCGTAGACACACTTGCACTGAGTGTGGCGTAGACACACGTGCACTGAGTGTGGCGTAGACACACGTGCACTGAGTGTGGCGTAGACACACGTGCACTGAGTGTGACGAAGACACACGTGCACTGGTGTGGCATAGACACACGTGCACTGAGTGTGGCGAAGACACACGTGCACTGAGTGTGGCGTGGACACACGTGCACTGAGTGTGGCGTGGACACACGTGCACTGAGTGTGGCGTGGACACACGTGCACTGAGTGTGGCGTGGACACACGTGTACTGAGTGTGGCGTAGACACACGTGCACTTAATGTGGCGTAGACACACGTGCACTGAGTGTGGCGTAGACACACGTGCACTGAGTGTGGCAAAGAAACACGTGCACTCAGTGTGGCATAGACGCACGTGCACTGAGTGTGGCGAAGACACACGTGCACTGAGTATGGCGTAGACAGACGTGCACTGAGTGTGGAGTAGACACACGTGCACTGAGTGTGACGTAGACACACGTGCACTGAGTGTGACGAAGACACACATGCACTGAGTATGGCGTAGAAACACATGCACTGAGTGTGGCGTAGACGCACGTGCACTGAGTGTGGCGTAGACACACGTGCACTGAGTGTGGCGAAGACACACGTGCACTGAGTGTGGCGAAGACACACGTGCACTGAGTGTGGCGTAGACGCACGTGCACTGAGTGTGGCGTAGACACACGTGCACTG